ATGCAGAGTTGGAGTCCAGTCACCTCGGAAGGCTGCCTTAGGCTGATTGCGAGCTTCGTCCTTGACATCGCCTTGGGCAGCCGGTGGCATCGGGGTCGATGGTCCAGCAAAAGCCTTCCTCCTCTCCGTCACGGACAGACCGGGAGGATCTTCGAGCTCAAGGTCGTCCGTCTTGGCGATCCCTCTGGCCTTCGCCCGCCCCTGTGTGCCTTCGGGGCTCCTGGACGGGTGCCTCTTCGCAGGAGTCGGTGAAGACGAGGAGTCGGCTTCAGGTCTTGGAGGTGGTCTGCTGCCCTTGCCTGGTTGTGGACCAGGAGGGTCCTTAGGAGGGCCTTCTGGCTGGCCATGATCATGGATGATCTGCCTCATATGGTCGATGTCGGCAGTGCCTTTTATGGCCAGCTTGTACTTGCCATTTTCGTGGCGGTGAATTACCCTCGTGCAAAACCACTTCTGCGCCGAGGAGCTGCAGTACCAACAGGCGCATCCATCAGGGAATGGGTTCTCTGAGCCGTCTTCCGCCGCCCATTCTTCATTCAGTTCGGTGTGGTCAGTACCGGCGGCGGACCCGGCAACAGATGCAACAGCTATCCAGTCTTCGTCCGCGGACCCAGCGGCTGGCGCCGCGTCTGCGGGTGACCCCGCTTCTTTGCTGGATCCTGCGGGTGACCCCGCCTCTTTATGGAATCGGCGGTTCCATTCCTTGAGGCGATGGTCATTGGGAAGCTGTACCCAATTTTCCCTGACAGTGTTGGCAACCTCTTCGGTCATAGGGACGCGATCGGCTTCTGTGATGCGCTTTCCTCCTCCAGGGACCTCCTTGTTAGGATCATGGACGTTGCCAGCGTCATCTCCATGAGACCAATTCCACGGGGTCTCACCGTGATGAGGACTCCTGGAGGGGCGGTCCATTGGACAACTGCGCATGTGACCTTTGAAGGGCTCGCACTGACATACTTGTTTTCTGTATGTCTTGCGATCGTTGATGATCTCCTGTTTCTTAGCCCTTTTGTCCCAAGCCTCTGGCGTTTTGGTCTTGCCACCCTTGGTACGTATTATCATGCCAGTTTCGTCCCTTTTGGTGCAGTATTCCTTAGAATACCAGTGGCGGATCACGTCCATCGAGTAGCCGGGGTACCAATTGATGTACCAATCCGGCACGTACTGAGCGGATACACCAACGGAGTGCTCCGTACTGTACGGGTAGCCCGATGCATCATGTGTAGGGCGTCGGGGAGCTGAACGGCTCCTCCTGCGGGCTGGCCCCGCTGACGCACTACCACGTTCCATGGGCCTTTGATCGTCATGCTCTGAGTCTCGGGGAGGCGATGGTCGTCTGTCCCTCTTGGCATAGCGCATGTCCTCCGAGTCCTCTGAGCTGTCCTGGACCATGAATACGTGCTGATACGGGCTCCTGAAGTACCCGATGTCGTTTAGCTGCTCCATCGTGAGGTCGTTGAGGTCCATCTGGTCGCAGCCCTGCATGAATACATCCATAGACCAAGCGGGTGGCCCCGCTGCTGCGGCTGGCGTCACTTCGGCGGGTGACCCCGCTAGAGCCTGGAGTGCTGTCAGCATCTGAGGTGCCGACATGTCTGGTTCCAGGTATGGACGCAGCCGTGCGGCCCCTGGGCGCGACAGCAGGTCGTTCATGGTTATCTGCTGATGTGCTGGCGCACTCAGGAGCCGGATTGCTTCTGCGACCTGCTCTTGGAGCATGTCCTTATAGTCCTCTTCGGCCTCTTCGGAGTCAGAATACGCGGGATGGCCCCGCATTTCGTCATCAGCGTCTCCCGCTTCCGAGCCAGCTCGCGGAAGATCTGGCAGCAACGGCATGCCAATCACCTGCGGTGCCAGCGCGGCGGTGAGCTCTTCCTCGGTCGCCGGGACGGTCTCAGCTTCGGAGATCTCGTCGTCGGCGGGTGGCCCCGCTGGAAGACCGAACCAAGCATTGAACGCGACCTCGTCGACTTCGTCCCAGCCGTGGAACTCGTCGAAGAGGGTCACTGCGTATCTTCCAGGGCTACGGTCACTTCAGCGTAGCGGGCCATCACGTAGTACGTGGAGGAGCCCGCGGCGGGAGCCGCTTCTGGATTGACGTAAAACTCGTAGTCAATGTAGTCTATGTCATCCATAAAAGAATTTTGAGCCAAATGTACGGATCCCTTTCCTTTCCCTTTCGGGCATTGATCGCGCAAGTGCTCTGTGCTGCCGCATGTATGACACTTCATAGTATTGCCAGAAGCGCCCCTAGGGTTGCCCCTCCGCCCTTTTCCCTTGCCGGAGGTCCGCCTGTGACCTCGACCCTTGCCTCCGATAAGAACTTCCTCAAAGACTATATCAGTTAAGGACGTGAGGAAAGCAGTAATACCCCTACCATGCATACGGCGTCTGCGACCCCCTTTGCCACGACCCTTTCCATATCGTTTGAAATGTCGGCGTACTGCACGTCTCACTTTTCTGACTGGTTTCTTCATAAAGCGCCTCCAACGGCGTTTTGATTTGCGATAAGCCATAAAAGCGGCTTCCGCTCTTTGTTGTTCAGAAAGGTGAGTGTCATCCGCTGGATAGTCATTACCAGCAGAGACTATGCCATTGTGCTCATCGTCAGATGAGGTGTCTGTGTCAGTGCCAGATTCAAACGGCGAGGGTGGCTGAGACCCTTGAGCGGATGACTCCGCTTGGCCCCAGAGGGTTGTGCCCGAGGGCGGGCTTGCAGTGTAGGCGGCGCCTGGCGAGTAGTTCGACCAGGCGTTCGCCTCAGCTGCCTCTGCCGATGCCTGGCCGGTCTGCCCTAAGAAGGCAGTGGCCTCGTTGGGCATATCGGCTGGGTCAGCCCAGGGACTTGGCTCGCCAGGACCAGCGGGTGACCCCGCAGTCGTGGCGTAGACACCTGCATGTGAGTGGTGCCCTGTGAAGATACCCGCAATGTTGCCAGGAGAGCGCTCGGCAACATGTCCGTAGTTCCTCATCCTGGTCAGCAGCCTGTCATAGTCTGCTTGTGTTCTGGGCATCTGATGATTAAAAGGCTCCAGCAGGTGTTGGGCTCGTGACGCGCCAACGCCAACGCCTAACGCTCTGAAGAGAATCAGCGTTAGGATCTGAAAGTTGGGGATGACAAAGCCAACAGAGTTAGCCTCGTCACGGGCCATCTCGAATCGAGCTAATACTGAGTCGATTCGCTCGCCCCTTTCGACGCGGAAGTCGATAAGGGCAGTGCCAGAGTTGAGCTGGCGCTCATCTTCCAGATTTTCAAATTTGGTGCTCAGTAGGTACAGTATATATGTGACTGCATCCGTTGGCTGTCCATTGACAGTTACACCATAGTTGATGACCTGGGAGGGGACCTGCATGGCGATACGACGAGCAAGACCTTGAAGGCCTCGTTGTAGTGCTGCAGCTTGTTGTGGTGGCGTCATGTTGCCGCTCGTTACGTTTATCCATGCGTGTACTTCGCGAACGTATTCGCGAAAAGGCGTAGTACCGGCAGGGTCCCATGAAGGGCCAGTAGTACGCGTGTCGTCCATCCCCTGCCGCATGTATCCCACAGCACATCCCATTATTACCCACAGAATGCCGAAGATAGTTATCTTAATCCAGTGCATGTGCATTTCGGCTTCGGTGATTGGTTTAGGCTGTGGTTTGTCAGGCTCTGGCGTAGTAGCCGTGAGGCGCCTGACTGGCACGGGATGCAGGTGGCCCCGCTGCGGGTAGCCCCGCAGGGTGACCACGTTCTCGATCGAGTTGCCGATTGGCATCTGGTGGAAGTCGAGAGTGAAGTGGCGCAGTGAAGTAGGAGAGAGCGTCTCGAGTTCGCGGGTTGCCCCGCTAGCTCGATCGCGGACTGGCTCCGCTCCTCGCAGAGCCGGCGCAACATGGTATTCCACCGTAGTAGTAGTCCACCAAGTTGTGCCGTGGATTACAGGAATCAGAGCGAGAGCCAGCCACACGAGAGTGTAGCCAGCTCCGCTACCAAGTCGAAAACAAGCTGGTAAGCTTAGGTATGTGTTACGCTTTAAGCGTTGCCATATCCCAGGCTTTGGCTCATATCGCATGAGCAAGAGAGCAAGACGAAGCATGGGATCTGGAGTAAAGGATAGGATGGGCATCGTCAATGGAAAAGGTATTTTCCGATCTCAGATACAAGTCGTGCGCCTCGATGAGGCACAATCACATATTTGGCCGGGCCCGGCTTGAGCCAGGCACGGCAGCGGTACATGCTCGATTTATACCTCGCCTTTAACCTTCTCCGTTTAAAGTCAGTATGCTCGCACGGACAAAGCCGCGTGCGAAGCGATCAACCAAGGGGCACGGCTTGATCGACCCGTAACTCGCCAATATGGTTGCCATCACAGTCTTCTTATGTGTGGTTGAAGCGCGCCGCGCCCACGTGCGCTCCTGACAAGTATAAACACTCGCTTTTGAAAATAATGCACCACATCCTGGATGTACATCCACGGGCAGAACATACGCCACCTTTGCAAGTTGGCTGCAGGTGTTCATGATCACGTCTTGCGGGACTCGGCGCTTCTGGTCCGACTGTAATATTCAGTTGGCGGCTTGTTTCTAAGTGACACGAATTTGGACTGGAATGGCTCGTTGCTTATGGTGTCGTGTCTTCGCGCACCAGATGATACACAACCTTCTCCTAGCCGTAGTACTGTTTGGTATGGGACCGAATTCCGCCCAAGCTCTGGTATACACGTGTTTGGCAATGAGTTGGCTCACGCTCGTGCAGAGGCGTGTTGATGTGGTGGCTGCACAATTGGCAATACCAGCCTGGTCTGCTGCGTGCCAGGCTTTGAATTGGTGAATGCGTTTTTTTTCGAGCGCTGCGAAAGGCCTGGCGTGATAATGCACGCAGGCGAGACCACAGGACCCCCATGCCATGGCAATGTGTGCCCTCCTTTTCCTCCCCCGCTCCTCCTCACCCGCCTCCTCTTCCTCCCTATCCTTACAATCCTCCTTCTGATCTGCCCGTTCATGGCCCAAGTGCACTCCTCCAGCTGCTCAGGTGAGGCTGTCGTCGGTCTGCTCTGCCCTGGGGTGGGCGCCTGCGCAGAGGAAGCCACAATCGGAAGGCAACGACTGCAAGACTTCGGGGGGGGGCAGGCGTGGTTCTGGTACTCGCCAGTTGGAGGGTCAGCGTGGGCATCAGAAGACTCGCAGATGGCACTGGCACGCCAGGAGAACCCCGAGGTCCAGCGTGACAAGTCCAAACAACAAACGGGACGCCCAATCCGTACAGGGCTTCCAAAAATTGAACCCTGCCACTGCAAGGTCTTCCGCATGGCTTGCACCGCACAACATAGAACGACAACAAGGGACATAGAAAGGGAGCCGTGAGAAGATGTAGGATTGAGGAGACCAGGAAATACCGATACCGCTACTCCCCGACCACCCCCCCCTGAGTGCGTTCCGACTTGAATTTCGAGGCGAATCCAGCGGTGGCGACGAGGGCCTCCCAGGGAGGCCCAACAAGGGAAGAACGAAGGAAGGGTAACGGTATGGATACGTGTCCCTTCTCTGGGAGATGACGGAGCGCCTGCTTCTACCTGTGCCCCTGTGCATCCACTTCCACCCTCTACTCGCCCTGCTCCAGGACCAGAAGGGCCCCACCAAAACGTCAGAGCAAGGGTCAGACACCGTGTTTTTTTCTTACCAGCGAATGGAAGCCCAGTGGCAGAGTGCAGGGGGGCGGCACGACACGACGACGAACACGACGGACGACCGACGAACGACAAGCGCGCGGGGTAGGGCGGGGGAGGGGAGGAGGGGAATGGTGGGCGTGTTTTCCACCGCCACCACCATAAGTAGGAGGGGGATGGGGTCCTCCTCCTCCTCCTCTTTCTCTCGCGCAGGCTGCGGGGGCGCTAGGCAGGCGCCTGAAGCGTCAGCCTCCTCTGCTCCTTCCTCCTCCTCCTCCTCCTCGTCCTCCTCCTCCTCCTCCTCCTCTCCTTCCCCCCGCCAGCTTGCGATGGCGGTGGTGGAAATCAGGCCCACCAGGGGAGGGTCCGACACGGCCCCGCCGCCCGGGCAGGAGACGCCGCACATGCAGACGCGAGGCGCTTCCGTCGGGACGGTGGCACGCACTCCGCTCGGGCCGCCGAGAAAACAGGTGCCGCGGGGCCGCGCATCTCGGGGCAAACGGCGGGCAGCACCTCGGACATGTGACACAGGCGGGGCGTTGACCTAAGGAACCCTAACTAGAGAACGAGGCCCCCTTTTTTCCATCAGTCATTTTTCGATTTCCCATCGAGGACCTCAGGAAGACCTGAGGCGAACAGGAAGCCAATCCAGGAACACCGAGCCCCTCCCCCACGAAAAGGCTTCCTGCTTCGGCGCCCCGACTGTAATGGCGCTGCTCGATCGGACAAGTCGCCCGAAGCCTTATCGGCCTGGCAGGCTAACGTGCTCAAACCACACTGCGGGTGGGATGCATGTCCCAACCAGCTTGATGCTGACATCATCGACTGACCAACTTGCTGCTCACACCGTCGCGCCACCCGGGGCCCAACATGGCCCTGGCCTGGCGCTGCTGCCTCCCTCTTATCTGGCCCTGGCCCAAGTTTCCCCCGCCCGCTGGCCTTCTTCGGATCCTTCGGGTCCGGCTTGCCGCTCTTCTTGGTGGTGACGGCGGGCTCTTCGGCTGGTGGGGAGGTGCGTGGGGAAAGGAGTTGACGGGAGACGAGTCGAGGGTAAGAGTGCAGCAGGGGGGGGGCCTCATGACGTCTCGAAGGGAGTGCGCAGTTCGCCACCTCCTCCCTTCCCTCCACTGTCCATCCATCATCTTCTCTCATCCCATCCTCTTTCTCCTTGTCCTCCCGCTCCTCCTCCTGCTCCTCCTGCGCCCCCCCCCATCCTCCTCCTCCTCCTCCTCCTCCTCCTCCTCCTCCTCCTCCTCCTCTTTGTCCTCCTCTTCCTCCACAATTGCACAATCTGAATACTACTCTCCTCTCTCCCCTGATGACGTCCGGGAGTTCTCTGGCCCCCCTTTTCCGCGTACTTTACACACAGGATTCCCGGTAGTTGGGTTTTCGTTTGGGTTGTTGTTCAAAATGTTGCTCCCGCTGAAGCGATGGCCTCATTATCGGGCTTCCGCTCGTTCCGAATCGTGCTCCCGCTGCAACGCTACCCTCATTTCCGCGCTTCAGCTCGTTCCGAATCGTGCTCCCGCTGCAGCGCTGGCCTTCCTTCCCAAAAGGCCCCAAAATCTAACAAATGCCCCCCCCCTTCTGACAAAAAAAAGCGGAGGTGATTCCACATTCGATGTCGATTCGTTGATTTTTGGGCCGCGGAAGCCCCCCCCCACTTTGAGGCGCCGTCGCTTTCAGGAAGTATCAAGCGGGAGCCCCGTTTCTGCTTTGAGAAGGCGATGTTGAAAACAGAGCCAGCGGGTGCTCTCCATCAGACCCGCCTTATGTGGAGCTCTTCAGAGAGCCGAAGGAGCTAGACATGAAGCCACGACTCCAGACCAGCCCAGACCTCTCGAAGACGATCCACTTACCTTGCAAGGAACCTGGCCCCATGTCATGACAGGCTGCGCGGTGTTGTGTTCTGAGCCGCTGTGCGATGCCATGTTTTGCGTTGCAATGCTTTGTGATGCCATGCCTCACTGCGCCACGCCACGCCATGCTATGGCATGCTACGCCCGGCCGTGCTCTTCCTTGAAATGCCATGCCGCGCTCTATCATGCATCGCGTACCCTCTCGCGATCGTTGCCCTGCCCGACATCCGACGGTGCGAATAGAGAGGAGGATCTCTACGCCATGGTAAGGGATGGAAGGGCGGGGCAGGACGTCAGATATGTCACGAGCACACGTAGCTTGTCCTCCTCCACCTCCTCCTCTTCGCTCGCTCGCTCTCGGCCTTGGTGTCGTGCAGACGCGGCCACCCACCTCCTCCTCTTTCTCCTCCTCCTCCTCCTCCTCCTCCTCCTCCACTGCCCGCTTCCCCCGGCGCGGCGGCCGTGCGCTCCTGCTGCCGAGGGTGTCGCGAGGAACCTGAGCAGCTCCTCGATGGGGGGTCGGCGAGGACGGACAAGACGATAACTTCCGGGGGAGAGTAGTTCAAAGGGGAGGGTGAGGAGGAGGAGAAGGAGGAGGAGGAGGAGGAAAGTAGCTCACGAAGACAAGGAGGGAGAGGAGGAGGAGGAGGAGGAGGAGGAGGAGGAAGAGGAGGAGGAGGTGAGGAGGAGGAGGAGGAGGAGGAGGAGGAGGAGGAGGAGGGGGGGAGGAGGGGAGGAGGAGGAGGGGGAGGAGCGAGGAAAAGGAGGAGGAGGAGGAGGGTGGAGGAGGAGGAGGGGCAGGAGAGAAGGCAGGCGGGAGAGGCAGGAGGAGGAGAGGGAGAGGGGGAGGAGAAGGAGGAGAAGGAGGACGACGACGGCGGGAAGAAGGAAGAGGAGAGGGATGATGATGATGATGATGATGAGGAGGAGGCGGAGGAGGACGGGGATGAGAGGGGGAGGAGAAGGCGGAGGAGGAGGAGGAGGAGGAGGAGGAGGAAGAGGAGAGGGCCAATCTGGCCCACTTGCTTTCCTGCCCGCCCGGGGACGCGGGGCTGGCCCTACTCGTACAACTGCCTCTACGAAAGACACGAATAATACCAAATGCGACTGCGGTTGCTACGGTCACTACTGCTACGACTACACTACTACTACTACTACTACTACTACTACTACTACTACTACTACTACTACTACTACTACTACTACTACTACTACTACTACTACTACGACTACTTATACTACTACTACTACTACTACTACTACTACTACTACTACTACTACTACTACTACTACTACTACTACTATTACTACGACGACTACTACTACTTCTTCTACTTCTACTTCGACTACTACTACTACTACTACTACTACTGCTACACTACTACTACTACTACTACTACTACTACTACTACTACTACTACTACTACTACTACTACTACTACTATTACTACGACTACGATACTACTACTACTACTACTACTACTACTACTACTACTACTACTACTACTACGACGACGACGACGCGACGACGACGCGACGATACTACTGCTGCTGCTGCTGTTGCTGCTACAACTACTACTACTGACTAATACTACTACATACTACCGACGCTCCACTACTACTTATTAGTATTACTTACTACTACTATACTATATACTGCCTACTACTACTACTACTACTACTACTACTACTACTGCTACTCCTACTACTACTACTACTACTACTACTACTACTACTTCTACTACGACTACTACTACGACTTCTATTGATACGGTGAATGCGACTATGTCTCCTACTCAGACTCCTAAGCGTGCTAATCCTTTCGCTGCGACGACTACTACTACGACTGCTACTACTACTGCTACGACGACGACGACTACTACTACTACTACTACTACTACTACTACCACTACCACTACCACTACTACTAATACTACTACTACTAATAATACTACTACTACTACTACTACTACTACTACTACTACTACTGCTACCGCTACGACTACGACTACAACTACCACTATTAGTACTTCTCCGCCTACTACTACTACTACTACTACTACTACTACTACTGCTACTACTACTACTACTACTACTACTACTACTACTACGGCTGCGTACGGCTACGACTACGCCTACGCCTTGGACTACGACTGCGGCTACTACTACTACGACTACTACTATTACCACGGCGACAACGACGACGACGACGACTACTACTACTACTACTACTACTACTACTACTACTACTACTACTACGACTACTACTACTACTACTACACTACGACTTACTACTACTATAACTACTACTACTACTACTACTACTAATACTACTACTACTACTACTACTACTACTACTACTACTACTACTACTAGGGCGACTACTACTACGACTACTACTACGACTACTACTACTACTACTGCTGCTACTGCTACTACTACGACGACGACTACTACTACTACTACTACTACTACTACTACGATTACGACTACGACTACGACTACTACCACAAATACTACGACCGCCACTACTACTACTACTACTACTACTACTACTACTTCTACTACTACTACGACTACAACGACGACGACTACTACCACTGTTGCGACTTCACATATGTTCTACTAGAACTACCGCAAGAAATACTACTCCGACTACTGCTGCTGCTACAGATACTACTACGATCAGGACTACTACGACTAGTAGTACAACTACTCCTGCGACAACGTCTCCTGCTACTACTACTACTACTACTACTACTACTACTACTACTACGACTAACACTGCGACAACTACGGCTACTATTACTACGACTACGACTACTACTACTACTACTACTACTACTACTACTACTACTACTACGTCCACGTGTACTTTTATTTCTACTACTGCGACTACTACTACTACTACCACTACTACTACGACTACTACGACAACTACTACGACTACTACTACTGCTACTACTACGACTACTACTACTACTACTACTACTACTACTCCGACTCCTACTATTACAACTACTATTACTACTACTGTTACGGTTACTACTACTACTACTACTACTACTACTACTGCTACTACTACTACTACTACTACTACTACTACTACTGCGATTACTACTACAACTGCTACAGCTACTGCTCTGCTACGACTGTTACTACTGCCAATATAGTGCAACTGCTACTGCCACTACTGCCACTGCTACTACTACTCCTACTCCTCCTACTCCCACTACTACTACTGCTACTACTACTACTACTACTACTACTACGACTACTACTACTACTACTACTACTACTACTACTACTACTACTACTACTACTACTACTACTACTACTACTACTACTACTACTACTACTACTACTACTTACTACTATTACTACTCTACTACTACTACTACTACTACTACTGCTACCACTACCACTACCACTACTACTACTACTACTACTACTACTACTACTTCTACTACTACTACTACGACGACGACGACGACGACGACGACTACTACTACTACCACTACTACTACTGCGGCGACTACGACTACTCCTACCACTACAACTACTCTGACCACTACTACTACTACTGCTACTACTACTACTACTACTACTACTACTACTACTACTACTACACTACTCCTACTACTACTGCTACGACTACGACTACCGAAACTACTATTACCAGAGTCCCCAGTACTACTACTAGTGCTACTACTACTACTACTACTACTACTACTACTACTACTACTACTACCACTACCACTACCACTACCTACTACCTACTACTACTACTACTACTACTACTACTACTACTGCTACTACTACTACTACTACTACTACTATTACTACTACTACTACTACTACTACTACTACTACTACTACTACTACTACTACTACCACTACGACTACTACTACTACTACTACTACTACTACTACTACTACTACTACTACGACTACTTCTACTACCACGACTACTACGACTACTGCCACTACGGTTCTATTACTACCACTACGACGCCCACTACTACCACGACGACTACGTCCAGTACTAGCACTACGACGCCGAAGACGGAGCCACGAGGGCACACCAGGCTTCCACGACTTGCTGCCGAGCATCGCTTGGTTTAAGTCGGGCCTGTCCCCCTACAGGGGGATTTTCGACGAAAAGTAGAAAATACCCCAACAATACTCCAAAAATGGTCTGGGGACTATTTCTTGAGTATGTTTTGACCTTTCTGGGGTATTTGTGGGGTATTTGTTTCCCTACCTAGGCTCTGCCTAGAAGGGTTCTTACTCTCTTAGCTTAAAGGGGCCGGGCAGTGCTAAGCGCCCCGGGCGGTTCCCCCAGTCCCCGCCCCGCGGTTCCCCCAAGTCACCTGGGAGCTTTAGCTTTAGCTTTAGCTTTAGCTTAGCTTTAGCTTAGCTTTAGCTTAGCTGTAGCTTAGCTTTAGCTTAGCGTTTCGCTTAGCGTTTCGCTTAGCTTTTCGCTTAGCGTTTAGCTTAGCTTTAGCGTTAGCTTTAGCTTTAGCTATAGCTTTAGCGTTAGCTTTAGCTTTAGCTTAGCTTTAGCTTAGCTTTAGCTTAGCTGTAGCTCAGCTTTAGCTTAGCGTTTCGCTTAGCGTTTCGCTTAGCTTTTCGCTTAGCGTTTAGCTTAGCTTTAGCTTAGCTTGAGCTTAGCTTGAGCTTAGCTTTAGCTCAGCTTTAGCTTAGCTTTAGCTTAGCTTTAGCTTAGCGTTAGCTTAGCTGTAGCTTAGCTTTAGCTTAGCTGTTGCTCAGCTTTAGCTTAGCTGTTGCTGAGCTTTAGCTTAGCTTTAGCTTAGCTTTAGCTTAGCTTTAGCTTAGCTTTAGCTTAGCTTTAGCTTAGCTTTAGCTTAGCGTTACTGTTACTACTAATGCTGCTTTCCTAGGGGCTCCAACTCCTAGGTAGGGTCGCACTGGGATAATTATACTTTGTCATCGAAAATCCCCGTGTAGGGGGACAGGCCCGACATACCGCTTGGCCTCAGGGCATCTCTCCACGGTGCCTCGGCCCCTCGGCGAAGGGCCTCGCGCTCGGCGCCGCCGCGCAGGGGTCCTCCGCCGTGCGTGCACCCCGTCCACCCCAGGCGGCCGCTGGCCCAGACCGCAAGGGGGCTCCGCTTCACCGCCGCGTGGAGGAACCGAACGCCGCGTTTTCCGCCGCTGGCTCGGGGCAGCCCGTGCTGCGAGGCGAAGGACTAGGGGGCCACATGCGACCCCGACCCCTATCCCCCACGATTTCTGAGGGGGAGGGCGGGGTTCACTTCGCACAGGAGCTCCCGAGCGAAGTCAACCCCACCCTCCCCCTCGGAAATCGTGGGGGGTAGGGGTCGGGGTCGCATGTGGCCCCCTAAGGATGGCCATGGAGGAGGCGGGTCCTGAGGGAAGCGGGTCCTGGGTGTTTCCCCCGTTCTGCTTCCTGGCCTCCTGGGGCCCTCCGCGGGCCCCGGGACCGTCCGCAGACGACCCAGGAGGAAGCACCCCGGGGAAAAAGGCCCCCGGGTCCGGGGCCCGCTTCCCTGCGGACCCGCTCCCCCGACGCTACGACGAGAGAAGCAGGGCCGGCGGGAAGACGGGCGAAGCGGGAAAACGGGCGGAGGCTCGCGCTCTCGGTCCACGCTCCCCGTGGCCGTGCTTCGGCCGCGGGGGCATCGCGAAGGCAAGAGGTGGCGCGGCTCGGCCGCTCGGTGCAGCTGCCGCCGCGGACCCTCGCGCTCGGTGCCTCGGAGGGCGCCCCAGCAGGGGTCTTTCTCCTCCGATGGTATGGTCTCCCCGGTGTGATGGCCGAGGAGGGGGGGAGAGGAGGACGAGGAAGAAGACGAGGAGGAGGGAGGAGGCTGAGGAGGAGGAGGAAGAGGAGGAGGAGAAGGAGAGAGGGATGAGGAGGAGGAGGAGGAGGAGGAGAACGGGAGGAGGGGACAAGACAAGAAAACGAGGAGGCGAATCGAGGAGGTGGAGGAGGAGGAGGAGGAGGAGGAGGAGGAGGAGGATCGAGAAGAGGGAAGATCGAGGACCGTGGAAACGTATGGAGGAGGGCTGCATGCTCGAGGGCTGCACTGCCAAACCTGGCCCTCGGGCCGCAGCACCACCCGCCACGTGCACCTCCGACCGTGGACCTTCGGGCCAGCGCGACGGGGGGGCGGGAGCCAGCGGGGACCCCTCCCTTCGGGCCGATGCCACACGCGCGCGCCGCCGCCTCCAGAAGGTCCCCGTGCGTACAGTCGGGGCCTTGACCTAAGGAACCCTAAAGAAGGAACGAGGCCCCTATTTTCCATGAGTTGATCTTCGATTTCCGATCGAAAACATAAGGACAACCTGAGGCAAACTGCGAAACACTTAAAGAACGCGGAGCCCCTCCCCAACGAAAAGGGTTCCTTCTTCAGGGCCCCGACTGTACTGCGCCCATGCCCTTGCGGCCAGGCCCACAAACCAGGAGATCCCAGAATCGAAACGATAAGACGGGTCGGCGATCGAACTGAATCGGATCGGCGGAAATCGGCAGCCGAGTCGGGAGAAGTCGAATAAGCAAGAATCAGCAGGCTAGTAAGCTTCCATTGGGAAGTCGGAATGGCAGTCGGAATCCGAAGTCGAATCGAATCGGAATCGAAAACCATCGAAGTCGAATCGCATCGAATCGGAGGAATCGAATCCAGCGCCCAGCGGCAACCAGCTGGCCCCCGCGCATCACAGCACGCGTCGCGCAGCCCACGCAACTCCGCGCACTCGCCGAAAGCGAATGTCCAAGGCCTGCGCGCCAGACACTGCGGGCCCCCCAACACACACCTTGCCGCACACCGGGGGCACGCGGGGCTGTCGCAACGACCGTGCTTCGGCCACCACACCTTTGCAGGCACGCGCGCCATCACCCTTGCCACAAACTGGGCCCGGAAGCACCTCCACATGCTCGCCCCCCACGGCGCCCAGCGGAGCCCCGGAGCCAGCGGCGGCCGCATCGGCAGCAGCTAGCGATATGGGGTCAGGCCCTCCTCCTTACGGGCAGCCAACTGTCCGACTGAATTGTCGCAACTGTTGTGTGGCAGGTTTACGAGTACAGCTGATGCAACATAGTGGAAGCAACACCAGGACGCATCAACTCCGTGACATTTGTCACGCTGTTCCCAGACCTGGGAACCGATGACCTTAAACTGTCGACAGGACAACAAACATGCAACTTACAGGCGCCGCGCTCCAACCTGACACGGCCAACACGGACAACCAGCGGGCAGCTTACCGAGGCTGGCACATGCATGCACACTTACAGCACACACCACGAGATGCGGACCGTCCGCCGGTGACCTACGGGCGCCCCTGGCGGCTCCCGCAAAGCCACCGACCCGCCCTTCGAGTCGGGGGGAGGAGGAGAAGGAGAGAAGGAGGAGGAGAAGAGGGAGGAGAAGGTTCGAGGAGGAGGGGAAGGAGAAGGAGAAGGAGGAGGAGAAGGAGGAGGAAGAGGAGGAGGGGGACAGCGAAGAAGAGGCGGAGGATGACGAGGAGGAGGAGGATATTGATGAGAAGGAGGAGGAGGAGGAGGAGGAAGAGGAGGAGGAGGACAACGAAGAAGAGGCGGAGGAGGAGAAGGAGGAGGAGCAGAAGAAGGATGAGGATAGAGGATCGAGGAGGATCGAGGATCGAGGACCGAAGATCGAGAATCGGGGATCGAGAATCGAGGATCGGCGGCCGTGCGCGCGGCGCGCGGCGCGCGACGCCGCCGAGCGCGAGCCCGCGCGGCAGAGGGGAGGCCGGGGGGGAAGAGGGGGAGAGGGGGCGCGGGGGTCAAAGGGTCCTCCTCCTCCTCCTCCTCCTCCTCCTCCTCTCCTCCTCCGGGCATTTCTGACATTGCTCGCTCCGAGCAGCGTCTCACTCTCTCCTCTCCTCCCTCTCCTCTGCTGCTCCTCTCCTCCTCCTCCTCCTCCTCCTCCTCCCCTCTCCTGCATTTGCCCCCCTTTCCTCCCTCTCCCCTCATCCTCCTCATCATTATCCTCCTCTTCCTCATCCTCAGAATCATCATCATCATCATCATCATCATCATCATCATCATCATCATCATCATCATCATCATCATCATCATCATCATCAGCATCATCATCAGCATATCATCATCATCATCATCATCATCATCATCATCATCATCATCATCATCATCATCATCATCATCATCATCATCCTTCCCTCATCATCATTATCATCAGCATCAGCATCATGATCATCCACCTCATTATCATCACCATCGGAAGCATCAGCATCAACAACATTGGCATGAGCTACATGGTCGTCATCACTTTCACCATCGACATCATCAGCATCATGGTCACCAGTATCACCATCACCATCCTCGTGATCATCATCTCGACATCCTCACCATCATTTGCATAATCATCATTGCCATCCTCATCCTAGTCACCAGGATGATCATAAACACCAACAGCATCATCCTCACCCACATCATCATCAGAAAGATCAACAACATACACTTCATAATCAAAATAACAGTCATCACCAGCAGCACCAGCATCGTCGCCAACACCAGCATCAACATCATGACCGTCATCGTCGCCATCGTCATCATCATCACAAGCACCATCCTCATCGTAGTCGTCGACGCCAGCGTCGACGTGATCATCATTGCCAGCACCATCATCGTCAGCACTATCATCGCCATCGTCGTCGCCATCGCCAGCATCATCATCAGCATCATCATCATAATTTTCACCATAAGCATAATCACCATCGTAGCCATCAACGTCATCGCCGTTGTCACCAGCATCCGGATGCTTCCCAGTCAACAGCATTATCCGTACCACCATCAGCGTCATCACCATCGTCGCCGTCGGCATCGTCATCATCACCCGCATCATCACTACCGGTTTAAGCATCGTCATCGGCGTCAGCGTCGTTGCCGTCATCCTCGTAATCGGACCCCATATCGTCGGCAACAGTATTCCTATCATCGCCGCAATCATCACCAACACCAACAACAACATAATCAACAGAGCCCTAAACATCCGCGCCGAACCCATCCGCACCAGTTCCAGCACCAGTACTACCACCACCATCATCCACTACCGACGCCACATTAACAGTACCAGTACCACCACTAACATCAACATGATCGTCGTGACCAACATCGGCACCATCGTTGCCACAGTATCATTATCACCATCATCGTCACAAACAGTATCAGCATCCCCGTCAGCACCTGTTCGTCACCAGCATCGCCATTATCAGCATCGCCATCCTTATCGCCTACAGCGTCAACAGCACCCGCCGCATACACCTCATCGTCATCCCCATTAGCGTCGCCAACCACCCCGTCAGCATCGACAGCAGCGTCAATGTCGCCACCACCGTCGCGACATCATAATCATCAACATCAAACTCACAAACATCACCACTGCCACAACCACCATCGCCATCAGCCGCAGCGACATCATGATCATCATCATCAGCAGCATCATCACCATCGACATCATCAGCAGCAGCATAATCATCGCAATCATCATGTGTTTCTTGATCGCCATCCTCGCCAGCATCAACATCATCACCAACACCACTCCTCATCATCAACATTACCGCCCTCATGAACATCCATCCCCCTATCAGACCTCGTGCCCCCCCCCTACACACACCTGCTCATCTCTCCTGCCTCCTCCGCCCCTTGCGCAGGCTGGAGGGCACGCGGCCGGTTGCGCCCGCAGCGTCAGCGGCCCGCGGTGGCCCGCGGGCAAAGAAGACATGCGCCATGGCAGAACAGAGCGGCAAGATCAAGAGGTGGGCCGCGAGGAAGCAACGTGATGGCCATGCTGGTGGAGCAGGAGTCGGGCGACCCCCCCCCCCCCCTCGTCATCCCTCTCTGCTCCTCCTGAGAAGAGTGGGGGGGGGATGCGCGAGCACGGATGGCAGCCGCGGCGCCGCCGCGGGATCCTTCAGGGCGGGCCCAGCCTGCTTGGACACGATCTCCTTCGCCTCCACGCCTCCGAGCCGCGCGCCTGACAGGGCGACCTACCTCTCCTGGTGCTCCTCCTCGTCTTCCTCCTTCTCTTCCTCCTCCTCCTCCTTCTCCTCCTCCTCCTCCTACTCCTCCTCCTCCTCTCCTCTCTCCTCCTCCTACTCCTCCTCCTCCTCCTCCTCCTCCTCCTCCTCCTCCTCCTCCCTCCTCTCCTCCTCCTCCCTCCCCTCCTCCCGCTCCTCGTCCTCCTCCTCCCATCATCACCGTTCGCATCCCTTGTTTCCTCATCCTCTCCTCCTCCTCCTCCTCCTCCTCCTCCTCCTCCTCCTCCTTCTCCTCCTTCTTACCCTTCAGCATCCTCATCCTCATCTTCATCCGCAGCCTTATTTTTTTCGTTTTCATCCTCCGTTCCTCCTCCTTTTCCTTCTCAGCCTCCTCGTCCTCCTCCTCCTCATTCTCCTCCTCCTCCTCCTCCTCCTCTTCCCCCTCTCCCTCGTCCCCCATCGTCGTCCTCGTCCCCCCTCGTCGCCATCGTCGTGCTGCTCTCCTCGCCCTCCCCCTTTCCCTCACTCTCGCCTGGGACGCCCGTGGCGCCAATGCGGGAGGAAGGCGAGAAGGAACAGGGCGAGGAAGAGGAACAGTGGAGGAACAGAGGAGGAGGAGGAAGAGGAGGGGGGGAATGAGAGGGAGGAGAAGGAGGAGGAGGAGGAGGAAGAGGAGGAGGAGGAGGAGGAGGAGGAGGAGGGTGAGCAGGAGGGTGAGCAGGGAGGCCACTGATCCCGAATACCTCTTGAACATCTCGCCATCCTCCTGCTTCCGCCTCGTCATGCCCCCCCCCCCTGGGCCTCCTGTGCCTCCGCATCGTCGTCCTCCCCTGCCTCAATATCATCTTCGTTATCACTGTTGATTTGTTCGGCACTGCTGCACCGACTTTGGCAGCATGAACCGTAGCGTAAACCAGTGTCCTCTTCACCAGCCGCAACCCCACTTCGTTCTAAATTGGGGAGGCAGAACGAATATCAAAGACACGCCGCCGTGAGGGGCCCATCAACTGTTACTGCTGAAGCAACTCCGTGTCTTCTGACTGAAAGATAAGAAATAACACGCTGACGGCGGCAGCGTGTCACTGAAATTCGCTGCCCTCCCACAAAGTGCCCTCCGCCTCATCCTCCCCCTCGCACGGTCGGGAACATTCGCTCAGCGTGTCGCGGCGGCGGCGGCCCCGGCGAAACGCCATGTCTATGCCCTTCGAGCGGACCACGTGTCGATCCGCTCCGCGGGGCGGGAGGCTGGGCAAAACTAAAGACGCTGGCGCCTGAGGACCAGGATGTGGATAGCGCGTCACGCTGAAGCGCGGTGGGCCAGAACTGGCGGCGCGACACGCTACAGTCGGACCTGATTTCTGGGGGGGCACGCGGGAGGAAACAAGCGATTCATCCGACGGCAGCGTGGCCCCAGAACACCAGAGGACATGCGGGTTGCACGAATTGGGATAGACAGGACAAAAGGGCACCCTCGATTCGGCATGGCCGACCTACTACTCAAGCTTGACTGTGAGCAGAACTCCTGTCGTTCGGTGGCATCTCATGGGAGCCTCCCATACCATCTTGTCGGCTCTTGCGAATCGACGCTAAACGGCGCTAGTCGACGCTGATCGACGCTAAATCGACGCTGGCCGACGCTAAATCGGCACCATCACGCTGATCGATGCGAGTCGACGCTGAAGACGCACTTCAGAGGGCCCACCAGGCTCCCATGATTTGCCACCACTGTCCCACTGTCCCCACCACTGTCCCACTGTCCCCCCAACACTGTCCCCACCACCACAGTCCCCACCACTGTCCCAATATCCCCAGCACTGTCCCATTGTCCCGAGGGGCGGGGATCGTTTGCTGGCGGGGGGGGGGTCGAACCAGTAGTGACCCTCCCCTCCTTTTCATGATGGGCTATTGAGGGGCGGGGAGGGGAGGAGTTCGAACCGGTAGTGACCCACCAACGTTTTCGAAGGGGGGAGGGACGGGTTGGAACCCCTAGTGACCCCCCTGGTTTTCCGCCAGCACTGGTAGAACACGAACACGTTCTTTCCATGCTGTTCGGTGTCGGTTGCCCCTTTCCCGATCCGCCCCATTCGGCTCCTCTTCCTCCTCCCTCTTCCTCCTCATCCTCCTCCTCTTCCTTCTCCTCCTCCTCCTCCTTCTCCTCCTCCTCCTCCTATAGTACTCCTCCTGCTCATCCCGCCTCCTCCTGCTCCTCCCTCCTCCTCCTCCTCCTCCTCCTCCTCCTCCTCCTCGTCCTCCTCGTCCTCCTCGTCCTCCTCCTCCTCCTCAACGTCCTCCTCCTCCTCCTCTCGTCCTCCTCCCCTCCCTCCTCCCTCCTCTCGTCCTCCTCCTTTCCTCCTCCTCCTCATCCTCCTCCTCCTCCTCCTCCCCCCTCTCTCCCTCTTGCTCCTCCGCCCCCTCCTTCTCCTCCTCTTCCTCCTCCTCCTCCTCCTCCTCCTCCTCCTTCTCCTCTCCCTTTCATCTGATTCGGCATGGTAGACCTATGAATCCGCCGTCCCCGTCGGCGTTTGTGAGGGTTTTTTCCGTTCGAATCGTCGTCGCCGTCATTCGTTCATCGTCGTCTCTGTCGTCCTCTTTCCCTGCGCTGACCTTTCCCTGTGCCCGTCGCCACTCCTCTCTCCTTTTCTGGGCTCTCCTCCTCAAGCGCGTCAGCCAAAGCGAAATTGAGCAACTCGTTCATACACTCGAAGGGAAGTCCCTTCCCTTTGGTCCCTCCCCCGCCGGGAGGGGGGGGCGGGGCTTCCGGGTTCGGACCCGGGTCCGGACCCAGGGGGGTCCCGGGAGGGGTCCCGGGTCCGAACTGGGGTCAGATACGCTTCCCCTCCAGGGGCCTCAAAAAGAACCTCAAGACGGGCCAAGATTGCCCCAGAAGCTCCAAACGATCTTTCCAAGACGCCTGGACGACCTCCCGACGGCCCGCAAGGATCCTTCAGGACGCTCCAAGAGGCCTACAGGAGCAACCCCAAGTGTGCCTCAAGAACGGAAATCGTAGATTTGCCCTAGGTTTTCAAAATGATTTCGGCGTTCTCCCATCTCCCGGGTCCCACGAGCGACCCGAAACGGCCCAAGAGAGTCCCAAGACGGCCCAAGACGCCTCCAAAAGGGCCCCAGAAGCCCACAAGACGGCTCCAAGACGGTGCCGAAACGACCGACCAAAACTGACATTTCGAGCCCTCCGCCCCGAGCGCTCCCAGGAGAAACTAATAGGCCCCCAAAAGGCCCCCAAGAAGCCCCGACGAGACCTCGAGCTGCTCCCGAGAGGCCCCCAGGAAGCTTCAACGGCCTCCCAAGAGGCTCCCGAACGACCCCTACACTGTCCCCCGTGGCCCCCAAGAGCGCTTCGACCGGACCCCAAGAAGCACCCGTGGCCCCCAAGAGCGCTTCGACCAGACCCCAAGATGCATCCCTGAGGACTCTGACCCACGTCGGCGTCGTCGTCGTCGTCGGCTGCCCGACGGTGCATGCACAGTACAATGGTTGCCGCGCTGCCCTCTGTCTTGGTGGCGACACACCAGCCCCATCCTTGAAGATGGCGAATCCGTGGCGACTCCTCCGCCATCCAGCTCCTCATCCCTCGTTCTCCTTCGTTATCTTCCCTCCTCCCTCATTTCCCCATTCCACTTCACCTCCTCCGTCCCCCTCTACCCCTCCCTGCCATTCCTCCACTTTTTGGAAAGTTTCATCTGTCGCTGCCTTCGTCGTCGTCCCCCTTCGGGGTCGGCGGCACCGGCCGTGAGGCCTTCGCAATCAGGCTCGACTGTAAGCCACAAGCTCCCGGCGGCGGTCCCTCTCCCGGGCCGCCCCCGGGCCACCGCGGTCCTCGGAGCACGCTGGCCACGGAACGCAGCCGCTGCTCCACGTACTCGCTGGACACGGCCGCGGCAGGCCTGGGAGGCGCGCAAACCTCCTCTGCAAGGGCCCAGGGGCACACAGATGAATACGCACACGGATCCCAGGATTCTCCCCCTATGTTCCCACATGTTCTGGGTTCTCGTCTTCCCCCCACTTCCAATTTTTTATCAGATCTTTTCTTGGGAGTCGACGATTACTGGGGTACAGTGTGCACCACCACCCTTTCTGGCCAGGGCCATCCTGGGCCCCGGCATGGTGAATACGCCCTCCTGCCCGGGGCTAGAAAGGGTCTATACACCATCGTGGAGCCCAGGGTGGCCAGGTGGCCCTGGCTGGGCACGGTGGTGTATAGATGGCATCTGCGGACAGTGGGCACATACGATAAGACACGTTACATGATGAAGCAGAAGGGGCTAATTCGACGTCCGTCCGTCCGTGAGCTTCCCGAGGTGCTCGAATGCCCATGCGGGCCCCTTCGGAACCTGCAGGCAAACGTGTTTTCTGATTTGGATGTGCCTGCTGTAGTAGGGTTGGCTTATCCTTAGGTCGGGCGTATCCCCCTACATAATGATTTTGGATGAAAAATGAACAATTGTCCAATGATAACCCAAACCATCAAAAATAGTCAAAAATCGTCCCCAGACTATTTTTGATGATTTTTGACGATTCCTCCTGTAGGGAGACGTGCCCGACTTAAGCCTATCCGCTCACGCAGTCGGTTTCCCTGGCGTCTCCTGGCAGCCGGGTCCAAGCCCCCCCTCTCCCCACTCTGAGGGGCACCGATAGAGGGGGGGGGGGGGACAAATCTCCCTTTAGCAAACCTCCCCTTCGTGAAAACGGCCTAGGCCGAAACCGACGGACCTGGACCCGCAAAACAAAAACGACGGCCGCGACGCCCCCTCGCGAACCGAACCGACAGCGGCCCAGGTCCTCGATCGACGTGCCAGGGCACGAGGCCCATCCGAGGGGGGGGGGATCGGCTCAGGGGCGGCTAAACACCGAGCCCGAACCGGCGATACACCGCCGACGGAGCGGCGATCGGCCCCCGGGCGGCGCGGGACTATCGGGCCCCTGTCGGCCAAGTCCGAGGCCAGGGCCCCCGCGAGCGGCACGCCCGGGGGAGAGCTGCAGGAGGAAGGAGGAGGAGGAGGAGGAGGGAGGAGGAGGAGGAGGAGGAGGAGGAGGAGGGAGGAGGAGGAGGACAGAGGAGGAGGAGGAGGAGGAGGAGGAGCAGGAGGAGGAGGAGGAGGAGGAGGAGGAGGAGGAGTAGGAGGAGGATGAGGGAGGAGGAGGAGGGATGCATTGGCGATGGGGGGGTCGATGCATCACCCCTGAGCCTATCCCATCCAGGTGGTCCTCGTCGGCTGGTATTCGGATCGCACCTCAGGCCTCCGGCGGGCCTTCCGGGCGACTCGGGCAACTCCGGACCGCGCTCGGCGAGGCGCAGCCGCTGGAGCGCATCCCGAGGCTGGAAAGCCGTCGAGAACCAACGAGAACACCCGAACACCTCAAACCTTCAACGCCCGAAAACCCCAAACCTCGACCTCGGACTTCGCCGATTCCCCCCACTTTGCCCATCCCTGCCTTATCCCAGCCCCCCGACGTCGCGATGGTTTACCAACGCCGACCCCCCAAAGGTCTCGACTCCTTCCCCGGGACTGGATTCTCCCTCAGCTTCGTTTTTTGCCGGCCTCGAGGCCCAGTGAGGGCCCCCGGAGGCCGAACATGAAAAAACGCCTCCCATCGCGATTGGTTCTTCGCCACGCGAGTGGGTCTGGGATCGCTGCCCACCGAAGTCACGAGCGAACAACACACACCCATACGGGGGGGACGCAAGGGGGGGCTCCGGGTGCGTGCTGTCGGAGAACGGGTCCCCGCCCGGAGGAGGGCCTCCCCCGGGGTACGACAACAGTCCTCCCCCCTCCGACCCTTGCACCCAGGCGGTCTTGGGGGCCTCTTGGGCCGTCGTCAACGCCGTGAAAGCCGAAAAGCCGTGCATGCTAGAAGTGCACGTTTTCCTTTGGAAAATCAATGATTTGGGCCTCCTGGTGGCCTCTTGGGACGCCTCGTGGGCGCCTCTTGGGGCTTCTTGGTGAGGATCAGGCGGACAATGATGGCGGGGGGAGGGAGGAGGAGGAGAAGGACGAGGGGAGGGAGGGGAGGGAGTCGGCCACAGGTAAGAGTGACCCTTCGCCAGAGTTTCTCTTGATGCCCCGCTTTCGGGGGGCGCTGGGTGGCGGGGGAGGAAGTAGGTCGAAACATGAAGCAGGACGGCGTTGAAAGTAGACTGGGTGTCCGCCTCCCCCCCCCTGAGGAGGACGGAGAAGGTGAAGCCACTCGGTGCTTCAAGCGGGAGAGCGCCTGAAGCGGATGGAAAGCTGGGAAGCCCAACGCTGCCTACTGTTAGGTCGGGCCTGTCCCCCTACAGGGGGGCTGTGGACAACAGAAAAAAAACATGCCCCCAAAATGCTCGAAAGATGCCCCAAACTATTCAAAAATAGTCCCCAGACTATGTTTTGACTGTTTTTGCATATTTTTCCCCGGTAGAGGGACAGGCCCGACTTGAGCCTACTTTCAACGACGGATGGGTATGGGGATCCCCCGTCCTCTTGCGGGAAACGAAGGCGGGCTGGCGCCTCCGCCCCTCGAGGGCTATGGTGGTCCAACCTGCCTTTAGCCTGGACCACCAGCGAGAAGTTCGAGCACCAGCAATTGTTTGATTAGACTACCGGATGTTTTGGTCGAGGACGAGACTATAGTTCGAGTTGGGGCTACCGAAGCGCTCGAAGGCTTTCGCGTGTTGGGCCCTAGGGGACACTCGTCCGACACCGTTTCGACGCTGCTTCGACGCCCTCTTGACACTTCTCCGGGTGCGCGAACCTATCTCTGGGACGTGGTCCTTCAGCACGGTGGGCGCAACAGAACTCGAGGGGGGTGGTGCGGGGGTGGGGGGCCCTGCGCGCCTCCGGGGCCCGCTCGGGAGAGCGAGGAGGGAGAAGAGGGGTGAACGCGGAGGAAGAAAAGGAAAGGAGCAGGCGCAGAGAGGGCGAGGGAGGGGGGGGGGAGCGAGGGAAGAGGGGGTGAGGAATATGGGAGGGGAGGAATGCAACCACGAGACAGGTGCTAACAGCGACTCGAGAGCCCTGACAGTTGCGCATGTCGACCGCATGTATTTCGGACAGAGTCTGAGCGTCCCGAGGTCGCTTGAGGCGATAGCAGTGCATCCGTAGAGCCATCGGGTATGCCCACGCAGCTGGATGCGTGGGGCCCACCACTCTCAAGACGCCTGGTCTAGAATCCTCAAGCCCGCCGGCCCCCGATTGCCAGGGGTGAAAAGGCGTGTGAGACATTTGGCTGTCCCCCTCCCCCTTTCCCCCTCCCCCAGGGTCCAAAATCCGACTAGTGTTGGGTCGGGCATGTCCCCCTACAGGCGGATTTAGGGGGAAAATCAGAATTAGTCAACGCATACTCTAAACTGGCCAAACATAGTAAAACAACAAAAATCGTCCCCGGACGATACCTTGACTATTTTTGAATACTCCTGCTGTAGATGGACAGGCCCGTCTTAAGATTCGAGGGAGGGGGGGGGTCTCCATGGCTCCCCGACGCCCCCCTTCAGGTCACTGGAGCCTCCAAAAAAATCCCCAGGCAGCCCAGCAGGGCCCACACGGAACGCCAAGAGGCGGTCCCCCAGAGAGCGTCGAGGCGGCCAAGGGCAGCCCCAGGCCAAGCCAAGGTGGCCTCGAGACGACACACACGAGCCCCCCCCAGGACGGCCCAGGAGTGCCTCGAGAGAGCCGCCGAGAGAGGCCCATAGGAGTGGAGATTTGCCACAGTCCCTTGGGGAACGCGCACATGCTTGGCATACAGTAGGAGCTCGGGCCACAGAAACCTCTCACAAGAAACCATACCCTGAGACCCCAGGACGTCCACTGCTTTTTTGAGTGGGGATGTCGAGCGTCCCATAGCAACGCCATCGAAACCCAAGACACCCAGGGCACCCTGGAGGCAAGCAGGGTGTGTCCTGGCATGGGTTTCCACTGTACTCGCCTGTTGCGTTTGGGCAGCGTCCGAGACGGCCGACAAAAACGGCCCGCAGAGACCGTCCCCCGAGGAGAGCCGTGGGGCCCCTCACGCGAGAGACCCGAGAGACGGCTTCAGCTGGCCCGAAGACGGCCTCCCGGGGGCTCCCAAGAGAGGCCCAAGAGAGGCCCTCTTGGGCCCCAAAAGGGGCCCAACAGAGCGAATGCGAACCGTCAATTCGAGCCTTTCCCCGAGATGACCCAAAGCAACCTGGAGGCCCCCGAGGCGCCCCCAAGAGGCGCCAAGAGGCCTCCAAGAAGCCCCCAGTAGGGCCCCCACGAGGCCCCCGAGAAGCTCAAGAAAGCCCCCCAGGCGCCACGATGCGCCCTCCAAGCTGCCCCTGAGAGCATCCCAAGAGCCCTTCCTAAGCATCTGTCAACGCGCCGCTTGGCCCACCTCACTCCTTCCACGAGATCCGCAGCAGACTCTCACTGCATCCCCACACCCCGTGGACGCCCCCAGGTGGCCGCCGCGGGACCCCGACAACGCCCCGAAGCGGCTCCCAGAACGCTGTACGGCTACCTCTCACAGCCTGCCCTGAGCCTTGCCCACAAACTCCCACAGGCATGGACGCGGAGACCGCCGACACACAGTTGCAAGGGTCAGACCTCGCGCGACATGATCGGCCCCAGCCTTCCCCATTGATCTCTACTCCTCCAGAGCCCTGAATCCTCGCTCGAGACTTCCCCACATCCCCAGCTCGAGAGGGGGGTATCGTGGACCTCCTCGCTGGAGGTGGCCCCAGTGGTGGTGGGGGTGTCGCATCTCCTGGGAATCGCGTGTCTGGGCCCTGCCCCATGGGGCCTCACAAAAAACACCACAGGACAACGTGTGTATATAAACAACTTGTCTGACCCGTCCTCCGGGCCACGGGTGACGACGAAAATATCGATGCGCTCTGCTTGGGCCGCCATCTGCAGCTGCGCGGTGGACAAGCATGGGATAGTACAGTGGACATGCTTCCTGGCCAAGACCTCCTTCCCCTGGTCCTGGGCCCCACCCACACCCCTTGCCTGATGTCGGGCCTGTCCCCCTACACGAGGATTTTCGACGAAAAATAAAAAATACTCCAGAAGTTAGTTAAAAAACTGAAAAATAGTCTGGGGACTACTTTTTATATGTTTTTTGCTTTTGGGGGGGGTATTTTTGGACAATTCTTGATTTGTCGTCGAAAATCACCCTGTAGGGGGACACGCCCGCCTTAACCCTTGCCGCGAGGCCCCCGAGCCTGCAGTGCGCCAGGTCCGAGGCCAGGCCGTCCGCCAGCTGCCTCAGGGCGCCCCGCGGCACGTCCGGGCACCGGGCCACGAAGGGCTCCGACGCCGCCGCCTCCGGGTCCTGGCGCGCGCGCAGCGACGCAGGTGTGGCGCGCGAACGAGGCGGCAGCGGCAGCGGCGCCTGAGCCACTCTCGGGGCGGGCGAAAGGGGGGGATAGCAAAGGGGGGGGGGATGAGAATCAGCTCACGTAGCTGAGCTTCCTGGCGCCGGAGGCGGCCATGTATCGAGGAATGGGCCCCTCGGTGGAGCCGAAACCAGCTGCATGCAGCAAATTTCGTAACCCCCCCTTTCCCAATCCCCCCTTTCGTCCGGCCCGACACTTGTGGCTCCGACGCCGCATCGCTGGGTCCTGCCGCGCGCAGCAGACAGCGGGGACGGCGCGCATCTGCGCAACAGGGAACGACGAACAACTGCACGAGGGCAAACTTGCAGGAGGTCCGCGCGGGTGTTCCTCGGAGCGGAGCTGGAGACCCCAGGCGGCGTCTCGAGCACCACCCCTGGAGCGCCCCGCGCGCCAGAAAGGGGGTCCAGCACCGATCCAAGAGGTGTCTGCCGATCCAAGAGATCAGCGCGCACCTCCGCTTCATGCTCACGACTCTGATGTTTTGTTTCCCTAGTGGTAAGTCGGGCGTGTCCCCCTACAGGGAGATCTTGGACGAAAAAAACAACATTTTCAAAAAAAATACTCAAAAGATACCAAAAAATAGTCAAGCAATAGTCCCCAGACCATTGTTGGACTATTTTTGGACATTCCCCCTGTAGAGGGACACGCCCGACTCAACCCAGGTGCTCGGCCGCGGCCTCGCCAGGCCTGGCTGGAGCCTTTCGCGACGGAGCGCAGCCAGGTCGACGAGCGAGGCGCTACCGAGAGTGCGGGCGCGAGAGCCCGACGACGTGAGGAAACTGCTCGGGTCGGGCGAAAGGGGGGGATAGCAAGGGGGGTTTGAGAATCAGCTCACGTAGCTGATTTCCCTGGCGCCGGAGGCGGCCATGTATCGAGGACTGGGCCCCTCGGAGGGGCCGAAACCAGCTGCATGCAGCAAATTTCGTAACCCCTCCTTTGCCAATCCCCCCCTTTCGTCCGGCCCAAACTGCGCGGTGCCCGCACTGTCGTTGTTACCCGCGGCGGCTTGGGCCCAGGACGCGGCCGGGGCAGCGGGGGACACACCATAGCCCGAAGGGCGCCACCAGGGCACGGACGAGGCGACGAAGAGGGGGAGAGGCAGCCCCGGGCGGCGGACCACGCTCATGGCACCTGTGGCTCTTGTGCGTGCGTGCCAGAGCACAGGCTTACAAGGGAAACTGCAAAGGACGCGTAAGCACGCCAGGGCGTGTCCCCCGTCCCCCTACAGGAGGATTTTGGGCGAAAAATAAAACATACTCAGAAAATACTCGAAAGATGCCCCAAAATAGTCAAGAAATAGTCGCCAGACTAATTTTTGACTATTTTTGGATATTCCCCGGGCGCTAGATCTGGGGGGACTCCCGGAGCGCCTCGGCTGGCGCCAGCGCCCCTCGCTTGTCTGCTCTTGAGGCGGCGAACCAGGCCGAGATGCTGAAGGCTGATGTGATGACAACCCTAAAGTCAAGCCGCCTGTCCAATCAGGACGCACGACACAGTCGGACTTGATTGGAGAGGACACGCGAGAGGACAAAAGACCCTTTCCGAGGGGCACACTGCCATAGGAATGCAGGAGGCATGGGTCCGGAGACACAGGACACAACGGTACCCTTGAACTGGCAGTGTCGACCTGCTAATCCGGGGCGACTGTAAGGATGCAAGGGCCTTGGAAGGCCATGTCGACCCTTTGCGTGTGGGGCGCGGCCCGCGAAAGCGGCCGGGGATGGGCCCAAGGGGCAAGGAATCAAGGGTCACTTTGGAAAGTCGCTAATCCTTACTGTGCGGCTCGACTGTAGGCATAAGCATAAACTTACGGAGGTCCGTGCGGATTGAACGGATCGGCGCTGGAGGAGCCCCAAAGGGGGCTCCAGCGCAGATCCCGGAAATCCACGCGTACGTTCAAAAGTGTATGTTTACGCAGTAGCTTCTGCTTCTTCCTCTACTTATTATTCTCCTTGTTTTTCTTCTTCGACGTGGGGTAAAGGAAAGAGGCGGTGGAGGAAGCAGGGGTGAAGGTGGGGGAGACCGCAGTCCAACAGGGGCGGCCCTCCTGCGGGCTGGGTGCACCGCCGCTGCTCCTCAAGGAGCACGATTGCCTTCCCGCCGTGCACAAGTTCGATGGATCAGGGTCGCGTCGCCCCGCCCTGGGAAACCTGGCTACGCTCTCTCCCTGCGAGCGTTCGACACGATGAGGCTGCGCAGTCAAAGAGCCAAACACTCGGGCGGTGAGGAAGGACAGGATGAGCAGCAGCAGGAGGAGGAGGAGGAGGAGGAGGAGGAGGAGTCAGGTCAGGCCATGCACGAGCAGCAATATGGCTCTAACGCTGTCCTGCGCAAACCGAGCCGATCGACTAAGCACCGTGGGGTCGGCCTGCCACTGAATCGAGGCCGCCCGCCTGCAGCAAGCAATCAAAGCAGCTTTGTCGGAGACAAGTTCCCGTTGCCGACTACGCAACGAGCCGCTTACAAAACAATCCATCAACGACACGCGCTGCATCACACCAGGGCGAGAGTGTTGTCTGATGTCGGGACTACAAGCGCGTGCCAAAACATCGTGTGCCGAACACGATCCTTGCTGACATTCAAATCCTCCCCGTCGACGCTTCCTGGGTGACGTCTCGCCCCCTCCGCCCTTGCGTCCAATTCCCCCCAGACCCCTTAAGCCCCCTCCCCCCCCCTCGCGGAGCGCCCACACTTCTTGCCCCGGTTGGCGCCGTCGAAAGCTCCAGCCTTGACGAGACTGTAGGTCGTGAAGGCAGCGATGTTTCCGCCGATGTCGCCGGCCATCACGGTGCCCCAGCCGCTGAAGGGGAGGGTCTCGAGGCCAACCATGACGGCGATGCCGATAGTGGCGTCCTTGTTGAAGTTGGAAGCGAAGGCGGCGTGCGTCGCGGAAAACAACTGGACGAAGAAGTACGCGAGCACGTTGTAGCACACCGCGAAGGCACCAGGCAAGAGCCGCAGGCCAAGCACCTCAGACGCGTGCTGGGCCACCGTCTTCGTGAGCTGCCGATCGGTCATCATGGCGCCAGGCCGCTCGGTCGGGCGGGGCATGAAGAAGACGGGTACCAGCATCATCAGTGCCGACAGAGAGGCGCCATGCACAGCGCCGTGTCTGTTGAAATCAGCTTCAGGCTGGTGCCAATCAGGCCCGCTAGCGCCATGTTCAGCGAGGCAGAGGCGAGGGAGGCCAGGCAAACGATTACACCCAAGACGACGTTGGACCCAGCCACTGGGCCAGCACTGGCCTTGGAAAGCTGGGCATTGCTCACCACGGCCAGGTCAGCGCACGCGATGCCCAGGAAAAAATCATCGAGACCCCGATCACAGTGATGTCTTCGGCGCTGTTGCCAGTCGCCTGATTCATTGCGGTCTCGCAGAAGAAGGTCGAGGTCGGGGAACAAGATCGCATGATGAGGTTGACCGACAGAGGTAGCAACGACAGCCTGAAGATATTGAGAACGATGCTCGGAGCGAAGGTGACTGAAAAGGCCACCACCGTCAGCCGGCCGAACTTCGTGTCGACGATGACTGGTTTGTAGCGCCACGGCGAAAACCACAGGATGGCAATTCCCAACATGATAATGGCGAAACTCGGTATCTGCTGAATGCCCGTGATGGCGAAGTCGGCTGGGTATCCCTTGAGATGCGGCCTCCTGGAGACGATGCTGCCTGAAAGGACGACCTTCCTGTGAAGGTTCATGAACGTCTGCACCCGAAAGAAGTTGTGCTGAGCGTCCCTCTCCGACCGCATCAGCGGTAGCCCCATCAGGACGGCCGCGAAGGGAACGACCATCTGCCTCCAGAGCGACGCGGCGCTTTCGAAGCAGGCGTCGATCTCTGGGCAGAAGGCCCTCATCCCCGCCTGGGCCTCCAGCTGCTGCACCTCCGCCTGCAGCCTCTGATGCTCCGCCGAGCCTCTCTTACGGGGCCACCTCGGAGCTCGGTCCTTGAGCTACGGGGTATGCCCCCTGCCAGCCCTGGTGAGACGGCAGGGCCGTAGCACAACAGATCGCAAGGGATTTTGGCAGCAGCGCGTAGGTCGCCTGGCTCCTACCCGGGCCTCGGCAGCTCTAACCTCAGACGGCAGCCGGCCGTCACCCCGGCCTTCCCTTGGACATCGCAGCGGAAGAGGCCGAAGGCCACCCTGGACGAGTGCAGCGGACCCTGAGCAGCCGTTCGCTGCCTCCCTGGTGATCGGGCCCTGGTTCGGCGCCCCTGCCCCGCCAGGTCCCCCTGGGATCCGTGTCGAGGGTCGGTGATGTCTGTCCCCACCGCCCCTCTCCTCGGGTCCCTCCTGGGCGGGGCTGCTGCCGGGTTCACTTGCCCCTGGATCGCGAGGTGGACGTTCTTTATGTCCCCTTCTCTCGCCAGGTGTCCCTGGGGAGCCCGTCGGCGTGGAGGGCCGGTGATGTCTGTCCCCACCGTCCCTCCCCTCCGGTCTCTCCCGGGCTGGGCAGCTGCCAGGCTCGCAGACCCCTGGATGCAGCCCCTCCCTGGATTCCCCTGCCTCGCTGGCGATGCTCACCACGCCAGCCTGGCTTTCTCCTACAATCCATCTGGCGTCGGCTATGTGCCGGTGTTGGAGGGGCTGGCCCACTGACGTCCGGGCCTCCCTCGGGCACGGGACGATGGCCCCTTGGGTACTGTGGTCGCGCCGGAGTGGTTTAGCCTTCTGCAGTCGCAACAGCACCCTGGACCCATCCCCCTCTTCAGACAGGTTTGCGACGTCCCTCGGCAGCTCAGCTCCCCTACCCCGCACACGACGTTGGGACGGCCCTGGGCCTGGCGCCCCACTGGCGACTCGCCCATCGTTCTTTTCGCCTGAACGCCCACCCAGCTTGATGAACACGTCGACACCTTCGTGCACGTCTCCGCGTCGTCTGAGTGGGTTATGCTTCGCGGCATGCACCGATTTTCTCGGCATTTTGTCAGACTGCACGTGCCTGAGCTTCCCTGGATGCCCCCAGCTGTCATTCTCCCGCGCAGCCCCGCTGCTGCTTGGTGAGTGGGCCGGCCGGCCTGCGGCGCGTCTTGTAGCTAATCCCACTAGCCCTTTGGGCGTGAGTGGTTTAGAGAGCCCGCTCTGTCCTCAACCCCCTATCTTCCCCTTCGGGGAGGGGTTTACCCCTCCCCCTACCCCCTCCTCCTGGACCTGGAGAGGGAGTCCCGAGCGTCGTCAGGGGAGTCGTTTTCGACTCCTCGGAGGGCCAAAAAACGACGACCCTCACAAGGATTCTGGCCCCGAGGGGGGGAGGCAGTTTGGCCCCTCTGCTCGTCTTTGAAGCAGAAATCATTGATTGTACGAGGGTTTTGGCCCCATTTTGGCCTTCTGAGGGGGCCGCGCTCATCTTCCCTCATAGCAAAATCATTGATTTTACGAAGGTTTTGGGTTCATTTTGTCCTTCTCAGGGGGCAGCTCTCCTTTGCGCTTCTGCGGAGGTCGCAAGAGGCCCCAAGATGGCCCCAAGAGGCCCCCAGGAGGCTCCCAAGAGGCCTCCAAGAGGCTCCCCAGAGGCCCCCAAGCGGCCCCAAGAGGCCCCCAAGAGGCCCCCAAGAGGCCCCCAAGAGGCCCCACGAGGCCCCAAGAGGCGCCCAAGAGGCCCCAAAGAGGCCCCCAAGAGGCCCCACGAGGCCCCAAGAGGCCCCAAGAGGCCCCCAAGAGGCCCCAAGAGGCCCCCAAGAGGCCCCACGAGGCTCCAAGAGGCCCCCAAGAGGCCCCACGAGGAGCCCGAACGACTCACATCAGGACGAGGGGCCCGAACGACTCACACCACGAAGAGCCCGAACGACTCACACCACAAGGAGGGGCCCGAACGACTCACACCAGGACGAGGCGCCCGAACGACTCACACCACGAGGAGCCCGAAGGACTCACACCACGACGCGGGCCCCGAACGACTCACACCACGAGGAGCCCGAACGAGTCACACCAGGAGGAGGGGCCCGAACGACTCACACCAGGATGAGGGGCCCGAACAACTCACACCACGAGAAGCCCGAACGACTCACACCAGGACGAAGAGCCCGAACGACTCACACCACGAAGAGCCCGAACGACTCACACCAGGAAGAAGGGCCCGAACGACTCACACCAGGACGAGAAACCCCAAACGACTCAAATCACGAGGAGCGCTTTCTCTCCCTCCTCCTCCGCCTCGTCCTTCTCCCGCTCCCCCCACAAGGAGGATGTACAAGGAGGCGGGAGGAAGGAGGAACAGGGGAGATATGCGGGGCCAAGCGGACACACGCCTGAAAAACACGACTGTCGGCATGCTTCGCGAGAGTTGCTGCTGTGAGATGGGCTGGTGGGGATACGCGAAGCGTAAAGAATTCGGTTTGTTCGTAGGCCCAGACAACTTCTCTCGCCGATTGCGCTCTTCGCTGGTGGCCGCGACCAAAAAAATAGGTCGCCTGAGTAGGTGTTGCGATGTTATACCCCCTTTTATGCGGATGTCCTTGTCCTTGTCCGATGCTCCGCCTTCAGATGCTGCACCTGCGCCGCCTTCCGCAGCTGCCGTTTCGGCGCCTCGGCGCCGTTCAGCGCCACCGCGTCGGCCTTCGTGGGCCCCATCTGCTCCGCCGCCGACGCGGCGCAAGGAGCACGCGCCTCTGCGCCATCCGCCAGGGCCGCCCGCAGGGAAGGCCTGGCCGCTCGGCCGCGGGTTGCGCCGCTCGAGCACGAGCGGCCGACGCACCGGGCGGCCCGGGCCGAGAGAAGCAGAGGCCTTGGCCACCGCGGAGCGCCAAGAGACCGTGGCCTCGTCAGTACGGGGTACGGGTCTACGCAAAATCTTGCGCCACAATGGCTGCGGAAGGAGGAGGGGGAGGAGGAGGAGGAGGAGGAGGAGGAGGAGGAGGAGGAGGAGGAGGAGGAGGAGGAGGAGGAGGAGGAGGAAGAGGAGGAGGAGCAGCCAGGATCAGAAGGAACCAGGATCAGGAGAGGAGCCGCGGTGAGAGCGGAAGTGTGATGGAAGTGCATTTGCGCAGACGGAGTGTCGAGGCATGGGCCGGAAGGCGGTGCGCTATGACTCAATAGCTTACCTTGATCCTCGGCATGAGTGAGTGGTCGGCACTGCAGCGGCGCAAGCTGTACGGACTGGTCACGTCACGGGAACATGGCACACAGCGCAACACGGGATGTGGATTCCTCTCCCCTCGGCAGCGTTTGCAGCAGATGCCAAGACACGCTTGCCCGCGCGCGCCTCGGCCTACACACCGCCCGATCACGACTAGCTCCGTGATCCGAGCGCACATCACCCCCGGCAGCGCCTCGAGAAACGTCCCTTGATGGCAGCGACGACGACCGCGAGATCCAGCTGCCGACAAGAGCAACACAACATTTTTTTACCAGCGCGAGAGGGTCGCCCCGTGGCTAAGGAAGAGAGAGGAGAGCAGCAGGGGAAGGGAGGGGAAAAAGAGAAGGCAGCAGCAAAAGCAGCAGTGCTGAGGCACGAGGTGCCGAAGGCCCACCGCATCCGACCCCCCCCCCCAAGGGAGGCGTCGGGCGCGAGGCCGTGCCCCCCCCGGGCGGATCCTCCCCGAGCGGGCACACGAGCAGCAGGAACTCGCAGCACTCGCTCGGGGGCAGGTCGTAGACGCCTCTGTCTCTCAGCTCCCGCCCTCTCTGAAGGGGCCCCAGGACACACAAAAAAGTACACACAAATAAATTAAGTCCCAATATTTTCTTATATTTTCTGGGTTGTTGTCTTCCCCCCACTTCCCATATTTTCCCATATTTTCTGGGGAATCGACGATTAATTGTGTCTGTGTGTTTCTTTCCCTCCTGACTCTCTTCCATTCGCTTCCTCCCTCTTTCATTAGCAGAAGAAGGCGAGGAAGAATAATAATAATAATAACCACTAAAAACGAAATACTTTTGGCGCGCCGCGCAGAGTTCTTGGATCTGCGCTGGGCCCCCTCCGTGGCGGGCGGAGCGCGCCAGGGGCGGCGCCAGAGGCGCCGCCGGGGGGACCCAGCGCGGATCAAAAAAATCCGCGCGGAGCGCCGAAAATTCATGTTTATGCAATTTTGTTCTTCTTCGATTCCTGGCATCCGACCCTGGGGTTACTTGTAAAATTGTCTGCCATTCACAATGACAAGCTGGGGGTACGAAAGCTGCACCCCAAGCAGCTGCTGGCGTCATGGCCTCTCTCATCGCAGAAAGCGGTGAGAAACAAAACAGTCCCCACTAAAAACAACAACAACGGCGTGCGCTCCTAGTGGACAGCTTAGCGTGATCTCTCCATCTCTCTCTCTTGTGTCTCTTCCTCTCTCTCTCTCTCTCTCTCTCTCTCCCTCCCCTTTTTTCTTTCTCTCTCTCTCTGTCTCTCTCTGGAGCGAGCGCCACTTCTGAGTATTGTCGAGCATCGAGCGGCTGATGCGATGGTCGGCTGATGATACCCCACCCCCACCGGGGCCACGACAACTGAAAATGGTTGGGTCCTTGTTTCGAAAACCGGAATCCCACCAGCCCTTTGGGCGTGAGTGGTTTAGAGAGCCCGCTCTGTTCTCAACCCCCTTCTTCCCCTTCGGGGAGGGGTTTACCCCTCCCCCTCCCCCCTCCCCCTGGGCCTGGAGAGGGCGCCCCGCGGGTGGTTGGAGGGGTCTTTTTCGACTCCTGGGAGGGCTAAAAAACGACACCCCTCACGAGGATTCTGGCCCCGACGGGGGGAGGCAGAAAAATGCTCCCCTCTTCTTTGAAACCAAAATCATTGATTTTACTACGGTTTTGGCCCCATGTTGGCCTTCTGAGGGGGCAGCGCTAATTAAATCTCCCCTCTTCTTTCAAGCCAAAATCATTGACTTTACTAAGGTTTTGGCCCCACTGTGGCCTTCTGAGGGGGCAGCGCTAATTAAAGCTCCCATCTTCTTTGAGCGATTTCCTCCAAGATGGCCCCAAGAAGCGCCCAGGAGGCACCAAGAGGCCCCAAGATGGCCCCAAGAGGCCCCCAGGAGGCCCCCAAGAGGATCCCAAACGGCCCAAAGAGGCCCCCCCGAGGCACCCAAGACGCCGAAAAGCCCATCAGGACGACCCTCTACTCGCCTGGGCGTCGATTCTGGACGGGCAGGAGGAGGGGCCCGAACGACTCACACCAGGACGAGGGGCCCGAACAACTCACACCACGAGAAGCCCGAACGACTCACACCAGGACGAAGAGCCCGAACGACTCACACCACGAAGAGCCCGAACGACTCACACCAGGAAGAAGGGCCCGAACGACTCACACCAGGACGAGAAGCCCGAACGACTCAAACCACGAGGAGCGCTTTCTCTCCCTCCTCCTCCGCCTCGTCCTTCTCCCGCTCCCACCACAAGGAGGATGTACAAGGAGGCGGGAGGAAGGAGGAACAGGGGAGATATGCGGGGGCAGGCGGACACACGCCTGAAAACCACGACTGTCGGCATGCTTCGCTAGAGTTGCTGTTTTGAGATGGGCTGGTGGGGATACGCGAAGCGTGAAGAATTGACATCAGCTGTAGGCGCCCGAAGGTCCCCTTTGAATCAGCCCTGAGAAAGACCTGGCGACACCCCGCCCCCTCCTCCCGCCCTCCTCTGCCCTCTCTATACCTTCCCTCCCTCCCTCGCTTGCCCTCTCCTGAAACTTGTCGGGGTGTCTGCGGGCCCGCGTGGAATGGCGCCCCGAAAATGCTGGCCAACACGGTATAGTTATTGTGGCGCCGCGGGGGTGGGGCATGGTTCAATACTCGAACAAGGTTTGACTCTGAACCCCACCCACGAAAGTACCCCACCCGCGGAAGGATAAGTTCAAAGGCGGCGTGGGCGCTGGAGGTCCGTCGTGGACTGCTCCGCCTGGAGAGCCCAGATACTCCGAAATTGTCAGGAACGGGGGAACGCGCAACAGCTGCCCTTGCCTCCCGCGATGTGCTTGGGCATGCGACGCGCGGGGGGGGGGGGGGAATAAGCGCACTTCGCTGTGCTGAGGCACGGGGAAGCGAAATGCGACCTGCGCAGCGATACAATCCACCCCGAAAGCGTTCGTGCCTGGGGTCTGAGGCACTTCGCTTCGCTGAGGCACGGGGGACCGACATGCGACTTGCACAACGATGCAATCCAACCCGAAAGCGTTCGTGCCTGGGGGGCGGGTGGCACATCGCGGACCCGGAGGATGGTCAGCACGCGCAGCGGAGCGCCAGCTGCACCACGACGGCGGGCGAGAGTGAGCTCTCGACCCCGCCCCCGAGCGGTGCGCCCAGGCGGCACGTCCTGAAGGGGCCCTGGGAGACACAAACAAATACACACAAAAAACCAGATTCTCCATCTGTTCCCATATTTTCTGGCTTTGCCTGCCCCCCCACTTCCCATATTTTCCCATGTTTTCTGGGGGGTCGACGATTCACTGTGTATGTGTGTGTGCTTTCCCCTCCTGACGTCCCTCCCTGGAATGTTCTGTCGTGTGCGTGGGGGGGCCCAAGAGGCGGTCCCAAGCCCCAAGAAGTCGAATGACAAGATCTGGAACTCCCAGGAGTTGCCGTGGCTCTTGGCTAGAGCTGGCCTCTCCCAGAGAATCCGTCCCCGATCTTCAAAAACAAATATGGGATCCGTTTTCTCGAGGCCGCGGCTCTACTAAAAAAACACGCAAGATCCGCGGCGCCGAGGCATCGAACGGGTCAAGTA